CAAATCAAGAAAAAAATACACACATTTTTTTAAATCAAGAAAAAGTAAGAAAATAATTAATCTTCTAGTTATAGACTTATAGTTACTTAGTTTATGTATTACCAGGTGTGTTTGCACTAAGTAAAGCAGTGCCAGAAGTTATATTTTGAGCAAATGTTACACTTCTATTATTTGCAACAAAAACCCAATCTTTGAACAATTGAAAACAAAAACAGGTTTAAGGGGAGCAAGTCTCAACCCAACTACCCGAGGCTTAACCCTCAATGCGTTAAAGTGCGCCACAGAAACACCTTTTTAAACAATGGTCAGAGCATCAATACACAGACACATACATATATACACACATACGTTCATATATAATAAACTAATCTGTTTTTGCTTAATTTTTGTAGCATCTTAAATTCACTACTCTGCTAATGTTTTTACACATAAAACCATGCAAGAATGATGGAAATGAACTCATATTTTATTGATTCCAGATTCCTCTGCTAAACATGACAATAAGATGTTTAAATACGATAGATGGACACCAAGACTCCAAGAGATATGAATTATTCAATTTATAGTAATATTATATTAATATAAGCATGAATACATTAAGAACAATTACCTAGCTAACATCTCTGGCGGGCATGAGAGCTTGGGCGACGCAGAGGGGCAGCCAGATCGATGAACCCCTTCATCGGATCGGAATAGGAAATCTCTGGCGGGCCAGGAGAACGCCCGATTCGTAATCAGGGAGACGGCTTCCACGCCGGAGGGGATCGGCTACTAGGGCGGAGCGAGGTGGTTCAATGACTGGAATCGTCTGGAACCGCTCGGTGATTTCCGTCGTCAAGACTGAAATCGACATCCGGAAGGGAGGACATCTGACGGTCGATGGAGCTCCAATCTACCGTGTGTTAGGCAGCAAATCCTAATAAATTAGGATTTCTTGGGACAATTTGTGGAGTTTTTTTCCGTATTAATGTTAATTAATTAATTAATTACGAAAATAGGGTTGGGTTAAAACTATTTACCAATATACTGCCCGATTAACCATGGTCGGGGTAAGTCGCCAAACCGTTTGGCGACTTACAAGTCGCCCAACCGTTGGGCGACTTGTAAGTAGCCAAACGGTTTGGCGACTTACCCTTAAGTAAAATTATCGGGTAAGGCCAAGCCATAGAACAGAACGCAGAAGAAATCCAAAAGCAACCTCTGGTGAACTGAACGCAGGCGAGAAAGATGACGGGTGCAGCTCCATCTCCGGCGAATCTCGTGCTCCGGTGACGGCGAGGTCTTCTTCATCTTGCCAATAATCTTTCATCTCCATCTTCTTCAACACTCTAGGTAAGTAAATCTCTCCAATTTATCTCATTTTTCATGTTAGGATTTTGAATATTGAAAATTCGATTTTGTAAATTAGGAATTCATTTGTGAATTGATTTGTTGTGTAATGTGAATATGTATGAAATGTTGATTTTTGATATGAAATTGTTCGTAAATTTAATTGTGTATTTTGAGATTTGGGTAAATTTGAATGTTGCTAGATTTGGGTATTCCAATGTAGACTGGATTGTAGATATCAACATTTGGGTATTTTGATATTGAAATGTGAATTGATTGTGCATTTTGTCATTTGGGTATATTACAATGTAGGTAGTTTTTTCTATTGAAAATTTGAATGTGTATAAAGTGTGTATATTAATGTGTACTCATGAAAGTTGGACATGTATTGTTATTAGAATATGGATTTCTCAAGCTTCCCAATCATATGTCATTGAGGAGGGAACTATTATGAGGATGTTGGGCAAATATGCATTCAAGGTGGTAGAACCAGCTTTGTCATGGTTTCTCGTGGCGCATGCATGCTGGAGATCCTTCAAAAAATACATGCAGCCACAATGATTCATCCTAGCCGTTCTTTGCGGTTGAAAATGAAATTTCCCATGAACGGGGGAAAGTACATGCTTATGCCCCTCATTGATGAGCTAGCTATAACAAATATGTGGGGCATAACTCAGATGGAGGATATGTCAACGCTTGAGATATACATTGAGGAATCCTGTGACGCTTATGGTACTCAATCAACATCAAATGTCGTCGTATCGACGCATGATGTCAATGCAGGGGTGAATGCAGGGAACTCCTCAAAGGCTCCTGTACTGGACATGGTTATACAGGAAGATGGTAGGTATTTGCACAACGTTGCATCATTTGTGGATGGGCAGGGAAGTGATGATGATGCTGACGAGAACATCAATGGTGATGACATGACAGAATCTGATGAAGATGATGGTGATACTGTCACGGCAACTGCCCCGTCTAGCCACTTTACTAGAATGTATGATCTCCCTGAAGGGTTTACTGATGCGTGGATGAGTGGATCAGGTGAGAAAAGGTTTACCCCCGATGGTGAGTTTGAGGTCGGTCAACAGTTTGACAACAAAGAACAAGTCATCAATATGGTGAGCTTGTATTCTATCAAACGGGACCAATTTTATCGGGTGATAGAGTCCGATAAACACAAGTGGGTGGCACAATGCAAAAGGAAGAAAGAATGTGATTGCCCCTGGAGAATACGCGCCACAAAAAACAAAGGCACCCTAGACACCTTCACAATTGTGCGTTATCCTGGACCTCATTCTTTTACGTGCGTTGGCAACACCGACACCACCGATCACGTGGCTTTGACTTCAGATTTCATCTCTAAAGATGTGATAGACATTGTTCGCACTGATCATTCTCTTAAAGTGCATACTATCATTGAGATGCTGAAGGAAAAATATGGGTATACGGTATCATACCGGAGAACATGGATGGGGAAGCAAAAGGCCATAGCAGAAATATTTGGCGGTTGGGAGAAGTCATATTCTGAATTGCCCCGTTTCATGACAGCGCTCCAACATTCAAACCCTGGAACTATTGTTCAGTGGTACCCACCCCCAATACTCCCACAGGTTATATGTAGTTTCAAAGAGTTTTTTGGGCATTCAAGGCATCAATACATGGTTTTAAGCATTGTCGACCCGTACTTACTATTGATGACACACACTTGTATGGAAAGTACAAGGGTACATTGCTCGTGGCCATGGGTTGTGATGCGAACAACCAAATATTTCCAGTGACCTTTGCAGTTGTTGAATCTGAGAATGGGGATAGTTGGCCATGGTTTATGGCATGTATTAGGCAGTTTGTGAGTAACAGGGAGTTGTGTGTCATTTCAGATAGACATGGAGGTATTGTCAGGGCAATGAATGAGGTGAGCAGTACTTGGGAGGAGCCTTATGCGCATCATAGGCTATGCATCCGCCATCTTGCATCAAATGTGCACACTCATTTTTAAGACATTCATCTTAAAAATCTTTTTGTCTGGACCGCACGGCAACATTAGAAAAAGAAATTTGATGGTGGGTTCAAGAAGATAGGTGAAATGAGTTTGGAGGCACGACATTTTTTGGCCAACATTCCCCCGGAAATGTGGTCACTTCACCACGATGGCGGGTACAGATATGGTACCATCACTTCAAATCTGGCAGAGGTTTTCAATAACGACATGAAAAATGCTAGATATTTGCCCATCACCGCCTTGGTCCAGGTGTCTTTTTACCGGGTTAATGCATATTTTGTTAATAGGCGTGAAACCAGTAAATTGAGGGTCACACAAGGCCACGAGTACTCGCCACACATCACAGATTTAATTGATAAAAATAGAGAGAAGGCAAAGAATCACAGTGTCACTCCATTTGATTTAGGCGGAGGTATATTTCAGGTGGAAACCGGTTGTGGTGGCCGAACGTTGGGAAAGGGTGGGAGAAAACAAACTGTCCATCTACAACGGAAAACTTGCACTTGTAAAAAGATGGAGATATATAAGATTCCATGCTCCCATGTGTTAGCCGTGTGTAGACAACGTAGTTTGTCTTATGCTCCATTTGTGGATAAGTTTTTCTCATCTGACCAATATGCCGCCACTTATCATAGAGTCTTCAAACCGATTCCTGATCGTGATTATTGGCCTACTTACAATGGACCCGAAATCGTGCACGACCCATCCATGCTTCGGGCTAAGGGAAGACCAAAGTCGACACGTATTAAGAATGAGATGGATGAAGGTCCACGAGGAACGGTTAGATGTGGAAAATGCCACCAAACCGGCCATAATAAGGCCACGTGTGCGAAGAGATCGTCTAGACACGGGGGGGGGGGGGGGGGGGGGGGTCCGCTGGGTAAGGTTCTAATAAGATTCAATCACAATTAATGTTTTCGTTGCAAGAAAATATAATAATTTCAAAAAAGGATGTTAAAAAAAGAATTAATATATTATTGAATAAGAACTAATACAATTTCTGTTTGTTTGTAGGCATGGAGGTGACAACGGATCCTGGGCCGAGTGATCGTTATGTCCTGACATTGCAGGCCTCGCACAGAAGTGAGGATGTTTGGGTTGGGATGGATGTTCAGGTGGATAGGTGCCGCGAGCACCTGCGGGGTTTGTCTCATTTGCACGTCGATGACAGAGTACTAGCCTATGTTGGTGCTGCGGGTTTTTATACTCTACACAGATTAGTGGCTACTGTGCCTCTAGATAGAGCACTTCTCACTGCTCTACTTGAGCGTTGGAGGCAGGAGACACACTCATTTCACCTCCCTGTTGGTGAGGTGACAGTGACATTGGGAGATGTTGCTGTACTTACCGGGTTAGAGGTTCATGGGAGAGCTGTTACAGGCACTGCTTGTCGACAGTGGGTGGATGAGTGTGAGCGGTTGTTAGGTATCCGCCCCGTTCTTAGGACTGACCTTCAGGGGTCATCTCTGAGGATGCTATGGTTGAGGGAGCACTTCCAGGTGCTTCCTCCCGACGCTGATGAGGTGATGATCCAGCAGCATGCTCGGGCTTATATATTGATGATGATGGGAGCCTCCATTTTCGCTGACAAGAGCGGAAATGAGGTTCAGGTGCTGCACTTACCTTTGCTAGAGAGGTTTGATGTAGCAGCACAGTTCAGCTGGGGTAGTGCCACCCTGGCTTACCTGTACAGACAGCTTTGTCGCGGCTGCCAGAGAGGGAGCACAGAGCTTGGGGGGTTTTGCTACTCCTCCAGATTTGGTCATGGGAGTATATCCACATTGGGCGTCCCATTATAGTCGGATATCATGGCATTGATGGACAGCCACTGCCTGATGAGCCTGCAGGTCTTCTAGGACCACATCATGTACGGGGCGAGGATCCACTAGGCCGTCGGTATGTTTTCAATCCTTTGTATTTATGTGAGTGTATGTTGAGTGTAAATACATTAATAATATCCATATTAATGATATTGTTACATGAATGGTTAGATGGCTATATGCTGGTCTATCTCGCATGTCATCCGCTAGTGGGCTCGGTGTGTACATGGATGCATTTGATCGGATGTCTGAGGACCAGGTATGGTGTGGGTAGTATAACATTAACTATAATATGTATAGAAAATCTCCTAATTTTGTATCTTTATGAAACATATTACATGGATGCCGTTTACACCTGAGATGTTAGCAGAGTTACCCCCAGCTGGACGAGAGCATACTGACATATGGCGAGCACGTGTGCCGTTGATATGTTTTGACATTGTTGAGCTTCATTTGCCTGATAGAGTCTTGCGACAGTTTGGTTTTGAGCAGGTCGTTCCACGGCCTATCGACACTTATGTTGAGCTGCATAGGCTGGATAGGCGTGGGAAGCATACAGAGGATTGGGCACTCAGACATGTCCGATACGTGACTATGTGGGAAAGGAGAGCTGAGCTAGTTGTGGCTGGGACACCGACATATGTGCCATCTGTTTCAGGAGACTACATGGGATGGTATTACAGCATCACTCGTTTGTTTGTGTCTCCTTCGTTCAGACTCCCTACTCATCATTATCAGCCTAGCTCCTTGGCTTTGCATCTTACGGTGAGTATTTTAGTAATTAGTAAAGTAAGTCATTTTGTTTATGTAATATTTGTATGTATTTCAATGTAAATGTAATTGTGTTTCATATTTCAGACACGAGCTTTGCAGCGCATACATCAGCGGGCTACTGCCACAGTGACTGATAGTCATGATGCGGACATGTATGGACAGGCTCTGACAGGCATTGCGTCCTTGTGTTCAGATGTGTTGGGGCGAGTCGACTACGGCCATCTTATACACATGCCCCCATCTCAGGAGATGCCATCCACGTCTAGTGCAGCGGCAGCTTCATCATCCCAGACGCAGCATGAGAGAATGGTTCTTCAACCACGACAACGGCGTAGGCGTAGACATGAGCAGCAACATCTCCATGACGAAGCTGACGATGGGAACTTGTAGTTTGTCTTTTGTATTGTAGTTTTTCTTATGCAGTAGATGTTGTAGGAACAATTTACAACATTTGACGTATTTTCTCTTGTAAAGTCTTGTATGTTCTCTTGATGTGTTCGAGTATGAATACTAGATGATTACTTGTTATGAATATTGGATGATTGTACTATGTTATACCGGTTATGAATGTAAGGTTTTGTATTTCATTTGTAAAGGGTATTTTCAAGGTGTTTTTTATGTTGTTGAGAGTAGGTGTTATGTATGTGATTGTGAAGACGTGTGTTGTATGCTTTATAATGTGTTGTATCTGGCTCGTAACACTTAAACAGGAGAAGAGAGACCTTATTTATAGCAAACAGATGAGTCCGGGTTGAACTGGGGCGAAAAACCGGAGGAAATGCTGTTTTCGGACCTAGGCACGATCGTGCGTCCCAGGGTACGCAAGATCGTGCGTGGCTGGCAGTAGCTGCTCGCCTTCGACCATATTTCAGGGGTAAGTCGCCCAACGGTTGGGCTACTTATAAGTCGCCAAACGGTTTGGCGACTTATAAGTCACCCAACCGTTGGGCGACTTACCCCTGACCGTGGTTAATCCCAGCAGTATATTGGTAAATACTTTTTTTCCAGCATTATTTTCGTAATTAATTAATTAATTAACATTAATTCGAAAAAAAACTCCAATTTCTAAGATAAATTAGGTTTACAATTATTCCTGGACAAAAAATGAAATCAATTCTCATAACAAGCATTAAATGATATCATCACAATCTAACTTATTTCTAAGATCAGATTGCTTGTATAAAACTCAAGCTATTTAAACTCAATTTCTCATAAACAAGAATTGAATTAAATCTAGACATTCATATATAAGATGATCAAATTCATACAGGCAATTATGATTAATCTTATACAATTTTCCATAAAATTGATTGAATTTCAAAAACTAAATTCACACCCTGAAGAACCCATGAACCCTAGCCCCAATTCAAACCCTATATAGAATTATCTACTCTTACTTAGAATTAACATCACAATAATATTGATAAGCATGATAAAGGAACTAGAAACAAAAACAATAATGAAGAATGAATATTTATTCTGAAATTATTAGTTGGAGACAAATAAATTGTGAAATTCAATCTAAGATCAAGAACTAGTAATGTAAAATACTACCTCTATCCCATTAGAAGGTTCTCGTCCACTATCCACATGGTCAACTTAAATTATTTTTAATCTTTTACTTTATATATCATTTTTTTAAATCAAATTTACATTTTCTTTATCAGACTTTGTAGCGATTTTAATGTAGTTTCTGAATATGTAAATTTTATTTACTAAAAATAATCAGAGTGTGAACAAGGATTCAGTTGCTTTATCGTCAGTCAAGCATAGTAAACCGTTCACGGGAACTTTCTAGCGGGATGGAGGGAGTATGTTTTTTTTCAATCAATACTTGGAATCTATATTAAATTCAAAGAAACTGAGGACAAAGTGAAGTTTAGGAGCCTTGAGTCTCCTCTTTTGGTTGCATCTGCAGCTATTTCATCAGAAGAAAAGGGCGAAGAAAACCGCTCTGGTGTCTTAGCTTAATTATTTTGCTGGTGCTGCTAAGTGTGTTCATAAACAAAAAGAATGGAAGATAAACTGCTATGTGCTATTCGCGAGAAAATATAGAAGATCTTGTGAAGTAATGGAGAACTGATCCTCCAATAGGAGTCCTGGTAAATATAAAACGGTAGTTACCAAAATACACAAGGATTCCTAAAATAAGGTAAATATCCTCCGCCGATAGAAAATCCTAATTTCACCCAATAATGTTGCAATATAAATATTTGAAACTGTATGTCACCTTACTAGGTGAAATTTGGGGTTTTAAAGTATGGAGTTTAATAGAAGGAAACCTGATGGGTGACTTGGGGAGCGGCGAAGGGTAAAACCCTAGCCGTCTCCCCTCTATTCTCTTCTTCTCATCAGTTTTCTCCTCCTAAATATGAAAATTTATCTCCTTCGAAAGTATTTTCAAATTATTTTATGTGGTTTCTTTCTAAGCTAGCAATGTGTAGGGTTTATGTATTCTTCGCCGGTGAAACTGATCAGGCGTTGAAATTTTATTGGTGGTGGATGGCAATGCTTATCCTACTTAATTTGTTTGGGAGGTAAACTTCATACATCGACGACTCCAAGACCTCAATTATTCACCCTCTTCTAGAACCACCATCGTGCTATGAGAGAAAGATAATGTTCGATTGGATATTCTTTTTCGGTGGCTGGTCAAACCGATGATATTTGTAATTTCTTCCCAGTAGATAGTCAAACTGAGGATTCTAGTTGTTTCTTTCTAGTGGCTGGACAAACAAGATTTTCTATTATTTCCTCTGTCGATGGTGGTGAAACCGACTTATATGTTTGTTTTCTGTCGCATATTAGTACTTTTTTTAGTGTTGATTATTGGTTAAGTAGCAGAAGCTTATATATTGATAGAGGAGTCTACAAGAGTAATCTGTATTGTTACGTTTTTTTGGAACTATTTAGTTTTATGTCTCATCCCATTGTAGCCTTAGGCTATAAGGATTACTCTTGTACTGATCCTTTTTATTATTAATAAATAGTTGTTTTACGGGCTCAAAAAAAAATATACAGTGTCTAATACATGTCAAACACAAGTGTGGATATTGATATTGTATTCATATACTATCTTATTATCAATTTTACAATTCACTTTCGTCATATAGTGCAATTACATTTCAGATAGTTGTGACATTATTGGGTGAAATTAGGGTTTTCTAGAAGCGGAGCCTAAAATATGTCAAACACCAGTGTGCATGGATGTAATATATTTTATTAATATATTAAGTAACTCACGATCAATTTTATAATTGAAGTTCATCATATAGTTCAATTGTAGTTGAAGTTGTTTGACTGTGTGTGCGGTTGCAGCCACCAATTGAACAATTATTCTTTTTATTATACTTTTGATGTCAAATCTTTAAAAGTTTGTTTATCACTGTTGCTCGCATCATCTACTTATAATTATCCCCTCTGCTATTTTAGCACATATCTCGATATATCACTCTTCACCGTTGTGGTTTCATAATTCCCATTTATAACAGCAAATAGCTATTTTTCTACCTGGCCAGGTCATCCATTGGGTATGGACATGTTATTATCCCGTTTGTTGCGGGCTAAGTGAAGCCTGCCCACAACAATAGGCAAAAGATTTAGAAAAAGCCCATCCCAAACTTGGTCCAAGCCCGTTTTCATGCAAGTCTTCCAAGAAGTAATTTGAAAAATGAAAAATTGATGCTAATAATCCAACCTTTACTTGGTCTTCTAAAAACAATCCCTACTAATGATAATCTCAAAAAAATCCAACTTTAACCTTCCATTTGTTGTTTTTGGTCCCAACCTGTTGTATACCCATTGTAGCCAGTTAGGTTATATGGAGTAAGTTTCTTTTTTCTTTTTCTTTATAAAAACTCTCTCTCTCCTGCCATTTGCATATGTCTTCTTCTACGAATACCATGACTTCTTTGTTTCCACTTGTTCTTAATTCTTTCTACAGAGGAGAGAAACAAGGAAAATTCTATGCCCTGCTCCCACTCTATCAGCAAGATTAAGAAATACTTCGTATAAACACATGTTTGAGAGCATGTGCACTTAGAAACACAAAGAAATATCCCAAAAATTCCTAATTGTCCTCTGCAATGCTCAACATCGCTCAGTAAAGTGCTCTTGTAGTCAAACAATGAGAATTTATTTAAATCGCTAGAAATAAAACTCATGTCAAATTTGAAAATATAAAATTCTATATGTTCAATCATTGAATCTTAAACCCTGCACACAAAAAAACGAAATAAAAAATGGACGTTTCAAGATTGGGGATAAAAAAAATTACGGAGTATTATTGAAAATTGAAGAGTCAAACCTTTTCTAAAACTCCCCTCCCCATGTAGCTGGTGATAGGATAATTGTTAAGACTCTTCAATTTATTGATCTTAAGATTTGGGATTTGGAGGTTGGGAAGGAAAGTAGCTAGGGTCAGCCTAGGGAACAAAGTGCGGAAGTAGTAATAATAAAAATAAAATAATAATAAGATGATAGTAGGCAGACTACTCCATTGGATATCAGGTGAAAAGTACTCCGTATGAAACCGGCTAATTGCATTTGACTTGTTTAAGAGGTACCAGGTCACCACGGTCCACTATTAAAGACATGTTATAAAGATTGGATTATTTTCAGATTAATCTAAAGTGAGATTGTTTTAAGAAGATAGGATAAAGGTGGGATATTAACATCAATTTTTCCTTTGAAAAATATAATTATAAATAAAATAACTTTCATCTCATAAAACTTGATCAAATTTTCTTTTTTAACTGTTCTAAAAAATTTTGTCAATTCCATTTAAACTAACAAATACTCCGTATGTAACTAAAATTATTTATTTCTCCTATCAACCTATGCATAAAACTTAGAGTCCGTTTGGTAGCACGAAAATCGGCTGATTTGGCTGTTTCTGCTGAAATTTCTGAAGTTCTGGCTGAAGTGGCTGCATTGACTGATTCTGCTGATTTAAGAAAAAAATTTAAAAATATATTTTATTAATAAAATAAAGAAAAAATTATATGTTAAAATAACTAAAATGATCATCTACAGTAACTTCAGCCAATACAGCCAGAAAAGTAACTCCAACTTTACTTTTTATGCTTATTACACAATTCAACTCGCGAAAACAAAAGTTACATGTTTGGTGAAAAAGTTGGTGATAAGCGTGATAAGCCAAAAAAGTTCCAAACGGCCTCTTAATATCACGGAGTGATGCCCAACTCAAACATTGCCTTTATAAGCTGAATAATACTACGACTTTGTTTGCAAACAATTAATTTAAGTGTTTTTGGCTTTTTTTTTTAAGA